CCCTGGACATATCGGCGCGTTACTGATACAGCTACTCGTGTCTGGTACGTCTGGCACAGTGACGTACGTATGGTTCAGTCCACCTTGGTAGTATTTCAATAATTGTCAACATTTTCAGATCAACAACATATATATTTTATTATGTTACGCTGTTCTTCATCACTATCACAAGCCGACGATAAGATTTGTAGCTACACGTTTGAATGTTGGACATTTTTTTCGTCTGCATTGTTACTATGATGAATCTATGCCTGTTTTAAGATGATTCAAAAATAACTACAAAAATATATAAAATGATACTCTTTTAATCTTGCTTTGATACATAGTGTCAAAATAGTTAGAAACATATGAAGATCTCAGTTCCCGACAGTTTAATACACCCATGGTTATGTATTGAGTAAACTTTGACATAAGTTGCCAAAGCAGTCAAGAACCATGCCAAAACGTGTCAAAAACGACTATTTCTTAATGTAGTCATAAGGCATACAGGTATATTGGTCATTGATCTATGACTAAGGCACTCGATATATATCAATATACAATGGTATAACATCCGTATTAAATCAATATATACTACACTGTACCAGGCAGTGTGTATCTTCATCATAACAATATGAAACAATACATATAAACAAAATACAAGTTATCGGGATTGATGGGGTTAACACATTTAAGTAATATGTGAAAGATACACATTGGTGCACCTTTCAGTTGATTTCGTAGTTAAACCCAGGGTCGATATTGTGGTGGTCCTGTAATAAAAAGTATAAGTTGATGTGGAATTTCTGTAACTAAGGGTTGATGTGATGTTCCTGTAACTAAGGGTGGATGTGGTAGTGGTCCTGTAATAGTAAATTGTTGTGGAGTTCCTGTAACTAAGGGTTGACGTGTTCTTGTAACTAAATGTTAAAGAGGTATTTTTCCAATGTATAGTTGATGTAGTGGAGTTCCTCTTACATAGCTGATGTCATGATGTTCTTATAACTACTATTTGATGCCGTGGTGTTGCTGTAATAAATGGTTGATATCGTGATGTTGCTGTAAATAATGGTTGATGTCGTGATGTTCCTGTAACTAAGGGTTGATGTGGTGTTACTGTAACTAAGGGTTGATGTTATAGTGGTCCTATAATAATAAGTTGATGTGGAATTCCTGTAACTAATGGTTGATGTGGTGTTCCTGTAACTAATGGCTGATGTGGTGTTCCTGTAACTAATGGTTAGTATCGTGATGTTCCTGCAATTTATATATTGGTCTCGTGGTGTTCCTTTAACTAATGGTTAGTATCGTGATGTTCCTGCAATGTATATATTGGTCTCGTGGTGGACATGTAACTAATGGGTAGTATCGTGATGTTCCTGCAATGTATATATTGGTCTCGTGGTGAACATGTAACTAATGGTTGATGTGGTGTTCCTGTAATTAATGGCTGATGTGGTGTTCCTGTAACTAATGGTTAGGATCGTGATGTTCCTGCAATGTATATATTGGTCTCGTGGTGTTCCTGTAACTAATGGTTGATGTGGTGTTCCTGTAACTAATGGTCAGTATCGGGATGTTCCTGCAATTTATATATTGGTCTCGTGGGGGACATGTAACTAATGGTTGATGTGGTGTTCCTGTAACTAATGGTTGATGTGGTGTTCCTGTAACTAATGGTCAGTATCGTGATGTTCCTGCAATTTATATATTGGTCTCGTGGTGTTCCTGTAACTAATGGTTGATGTGGTGTTCCTGTAACTAATGGTCAGTATCGTGATGTTCCTGCAATTTATATATTGGTCTCGTGGTGTTCCTGTAACTACTGGTTAGTATCGTGATGTTCCTGCAATTTATAGATTGGTCTCGTGGTGGACATGTAACTAATGGGTAGTATCGTGATGTTCCTGCAATGTATATATTGGTCTCGTGGTGAACATGTAACTAATGGTTGATGTGGTGTTCCTGTAACTAATGGTTGATGTGGTGTTCCTGTAACTAATGGTCAGTATCGTGATGTTCCTGCAATTTATATATTGGTCTCGTGGTGTTCCTTTAACTAATGGTTAGTATCGTGATGTTCCTGCAATTTATTTATTGGGCTCGTGGTGGACATGTAACTAATGGTTAATGTGGTGTTCCTGTAACTTATGGTTAGTATCGTGATGTTCCTGCAATGTATATATTGGTGTCGTGGTGGACATGTAACTAATGGTTAATGTCGTGGTGTTCCTGTAACTAATGGTTGATGTGGTGTTCCTGTAACTAATGGTCAGTATCGGGATGTTCCTGCAATTTATATATTGGTCTCGTGGTGTTCCTTTAACTAATGGTTAGTATCGTGATGTTCCTGCAATTTATATATTGGTCTCGTGGTGGACATGTAACTAATGGTTAATGTCGTGGTGTTCCTGTAACTAAGGGTTGATGTCGTGGTGTTTCTGTAACTAAGGGTTGATGTGGTGGACATGTAACTAGTGGTTAATGTCGTGGTGTTCCTGTAGTAACATTGGGTTGTTGAAGACCTCTTTACAGATGCGACAGGTATAAAACCGCGGAGTGCCGACCTGTGACTCGCTGTGAGTCACTTTAAAGTGTTGTTTCAGTAACATGAGATGACGAAAGCGTTTACGACACAATAGACACAGGTAAGGGCGCACTTTATTTGTCTTGTCCTTCCTATAATGGACGGAGAAGGTCGGTATCATGCGGTCATTTCTCGTCTGGCTGTCGGCGACTGTAACACTGGTAGCACCAATGTTTGACGATTGTTGTCCCATTATCTCTGTCTGTTGTCTGTACGGAATCGTTAAATTATTTTCTTGAGAATATATCTGATGACCTTGATCTTGGTTTTCTGGCACACATCGACCTTGAGATTTCGTCCCTTGGCCTGATTTTATGTTCTTTGTCATAAGAGCACGTGTGTTATTAGAATACACGAATTGTGACTGTGCAATTTCGTTGGGCGTGGCAAACCCTCTTGATCTTTCCTCGTGACTGTGTTCACCTGCTAAAGGAGGAGCATACACACTGTACGTTGGTAAGATAGGACACCTCATTTGACTTTTCAGGTCAGCTCCCCCATTTAACATCGAGTTACCCACTCTAAACATACAAGAGTCCGGTACAGACGACAAACTACATCCCGTAAGGTGATTCTCGGCGTGTTCCACGAGACTTGACACGTCTCCTGTTCTGTAAAAACACAGGGCACAAGCAAATGGTTTTTCAGCAAAACTGTCATAGTCCGACACAAGCTTTGCGTAACGTCCGCTAGTCGGGGGGCTGGTGGTCACACCCTCCTCAACACTGGACACGCGTCGCTGACCGGCCCAATTAAATTTTGTTCCCACACTTTCGCCAGTTTCGCCCTTTCCAGAGGACTGCACTGAGGGTTTGTTGGCCGTCATCCAGTGGAAGGGACTCTGTGACAGAGCTGGACTTTCCAGTTTATACCGGGACGGAGAGGAAGGGTTTGTGCCACGAGTGTTGGGATCGTTAGACAGGAAATCATATACCACAGACCGTCCGTCTGCAGGTTCCTTCCTGGCGCTCACCGGTGTGCGTTCCTGATGCCCGTCCGCAGGTTCCTTCCTGGCGCATGACTGAGTGTGTTCGGGATGATTGTCGCGGATGTGTCGCTGGAGGTGCCCGAAAGTAATGAATGGCATTCGGCATACGTCACATATATGACATTCCAGGTCGTGCTTGCGCACGTGCCGGTCGAATGTACTTTTGTAGTTGGTACCATAGGCACATAATTGACACTGGTGTCGCAGTTTGCCAATTGCGTCAAGAGCACGGTCTGCTAGACTATCGGACGTAGCATTCTCTAGCTCCTGAATAGACATGTCCAGTGCCAGGTCATAATCATCATCCGGGTATTCGACAAACACATCGGTGTCTTCCTGTCCAGACTTAACAACCTTGTGAATATTTTTAAGGTGATAATCCAAAACCAGTTTTCGCCCAAAAGACTTATTACAGTATTCACAAGTATACTTAGTACAAATGACATTGTCGGGAGAGTTTGAAGCCTTTGACGGTGATGACTGAACTTTGTTCACGTTTGTTTCCTCTTCAGGGACATGATTCGTCTCTGCGATGTGTCTGTTTTCATCCTCTACTACCATATTGTTCTCTTTGTGGTCACCATTGACTTCCTGCATCGACAAACCCCATGATCGTTCTCGAGCTTCACCTGTTTTTGACACTGAAACCTCCTCTACCATATCTACATCACTTGCCCCACCATCTTCGATGACACCTTCTCCTACCAGGGCCTCGCTCTCTTCTATGACCCCGCCTTCAACCAGGGACACGTCCTCAGCAATCCCACCATCTCCTTCACTTTCGATGACATCGCCAGTGTTGTGTGCTGTACGTTTGTGCGTGGCCAGACTCGAGAACGTCATGAAGGGGCGGTTACACAAAATACAATGAAACTTGGACGAGAAGTGCTTTCTAACGTGGCGAGTCAGGTCGGAACTGTAAGAGGTGCTATAATCACAATGTTTACAGCTATGCTTTGGCGGCTGGTCCTTTCCGGGCCCGGAACTCGTTGTAGCTGCAGTCACCAGCAGATCGGCGTGCTCCTTGCGTTTGTGGAATTCAACGTTTCCAATAGTTTTAAATGGCATATTGCAGATCTCACAGTTAAATGTTGCTACAGCATGTTTTCTAACATGGCGGTTTAAGTCGGACTTGTATCTGGTACGATAAGCACACATAGCACATTTGTACCTCTTAGGAAGGTGCGAGCGTTTACCCATTCCTGGTAGAGCAGTGTTACGTAACTTTGGTTGGACCTTCTCCGGAGGCCCTGTCCCGTTACAACCATTGACCTCTGTACTTTCCATTCCATTTGTGAGCAAGTCCACGTGGCCAGCCCCCTTGCCCTCGCTTACAACGGGAGCATATCCGTACATCCCCAGCATGAGGTTACGATCCTGTATGGCGTAGGCCGGAGTGACGTCATGAGCCGTCAATGCGTATGCCGTCATAGTGTCAGGAATGTATGGCATGCCGGCGGTTATAGTGGCCGTCCTTCCACTCTGAGACATGTCGAGTGCACATTGCGTTCCAGTGCGAGACAGTACTTCTCCCTGGTGATAAGTTTGCTGCATGGCCATTAAATCATGTCCGTGACGGCTCGCTGCACCGGGACTTAGTGGCTCTTGTTTGAATCTCGTTCTCCCATCGTCCATCGTGTCACTGAAATACAACAGATATATGATTTAGTTAGTGTTTAGTGAGCTGGAAAATACAATACAAAATAGTAAAAAGTATTATCATCTATATACTAATGTATACCACCTACCGGTAGCATGATACATTCATTATCATTGGTTGTGAGTATGAGAAGAAGTTGAGAACGACTTGAGAACAACCTGAGAACGGATTTTCCCATTCCTAAGCACTTGGGAACGTATGTTCTCAAAAAAGAACGTCTGCTCGCGTCAGNACAAAGTTAACATAACACTGTTTGTAAGTTAGTAATTAATACAAAGTTAACATAACACTGTTTGTAAGGTAGTAATTAATACAAAGATAACATAACTTTGTTTGTAAGGTAGTAATTAATACAAAGTTAACATAACACTGTTTGTAAGGTAGTAATTAATACAAAGTTAACATAACAATGTTTGTAAGTTAGTAATTAATACAAAGTTAACATAACAATGTTTGTAAGTTAGTAATTAATACAAAGATAACATAACACTGTTTGTAAGTTAGTAATTAATACAAAGTTAACATAACAATGTTTGTAAGTTAGTAATTAATACAAAGATAACATAACACTGTTTGGAAGGTAGTAATTAATACAAAGTTAACATAACTCTGTTTGTAAGTTAGTAATTAATACAAAGTTAACATAACAATGTTTGTAAGTTAGTAATTAATACAAAGTTAACGTAACACTGTTTGTAAGGTAGTAATTAATACAAAGTTAAGATAACACTATTTGTAAGGTAGTAATTAATACAAAGTTAACAAACACTGTTTGTAAGGTAGTAATTAATACAAAGTTAACATAACACTATTTGTAAGGTAGTAATTAATACAACGTTAACATAACACTGTTTGTAAGTTAGTAATTAATACAAAGTTAACGTAACCCTGTTTGTAAGGTAGTAATTAATACAAAGATAACATAACACTGTTTGTAAGCTAGTAATTAATACAAAGTTAACATAACACTGTTTGTAAGTTAGTAATTAATACAAAGATAACATAACACTGTTTGTAAGGTAGTAATCAATACAAAGATAACATAACACTGTTTGTAAGGTAGTAATCAATACAAAGATAACATAACACTGTTTGTAAGGTAGTAATCAATACAAAGATAACATAACACTGTTTGGAAGGTAGTAATTAATACAAAGTTAACATAAAACTGTTTGTAAGTTAGTAATTAATACAAAGTTAACGTAACACTGTTTGGAAGGTAGTAATTAATACAAAGTTAACATAACACTGTTTGTAAGGTAATAATTAATACAAAGTTACAATGTAACATAATACTGTTTGTAAGTTAGTAATTAATACAAAGTTAACACGACACTATTTGTAAGGTAGTAATTAATACGAAGTTAACATAACACTGTTTGTAAGGTAGTAATTAATACAAAGTAAATATGACACGTTATGTTAGGTAGTAATTAATACAATGTTAGTGAGTAATAAGACACAGCACACTGGTTGAGCTGTTTCCCAGTCGGTCACTCAAATCGATCTTAACATATGTATCAAATATTAACAACTGTATTTTAAAAGTAAACCAATTCTTTTAACAATTAAAACAAACTTTGCTGTTTTTGATACTTCATAGTTTAAAATTGTCACTTAGTCAAATTATTTTACAATTTCCAATTACTCTTTAAAAATCAAAATCTCCTTGTATCCGGGAATACTCCCATTTCAAAACCAAAACCATAGTCTTATTAGTATTTACAGTTGAATCCCATTAAGTTAGTATAACATTATATACACTTGTAGCTAGACCAAAACCATAGTCTTATTAGTATTTACAGTTGAATCCCATTAAGTTAGTATAACATTATATACACCTGTGGCTAGATCAAGACCTTACGATTTGGTAACACCGTGCATTGGTAGATTGTGCAATATAGGGCTATCCATATAGTGGCATTTTAACGAAAGTTAGAGCGAAACGAGCCAGTGCGTTACACACTCTTGTGATCCGACATACCGCAAACATCTGCAAGCAAGGAGTGGAAAGTTCCTGTAGCCAGGTAGCGTAGCGTAATAGGTTGAATTGGTGATTTCACCGTGATTTTACTACTAAGTAAGGTGACAATATGTGTAATAGAAAAAGGTAATTTCCCTGCGAAATCTAAACCTAGAAAAAATCACATCATCTCCCATGTATTCAATCGGATCGTGCTCCCTGATTGTAGTAATGGCTTTAACTCTGTCTGCGTTGTCGTTGACGCCGCCTAGCCCTCCGTAGCCACCGGCCATTTTTATTGTAAACAGAGCGTTCCAAAGCTTGAGTTCGAACTTAAGTCTGCTCTTGGACAGTCTCAGCTTTTTGAGCTCAGCTTGAGGCGTTGAGCTGAGTTTTTTGTTTGTGATAACGAAATACGGACGCTGAGCTTGAGTTCGGACTCAAATCTAAGCTTGAGGCGGCCTCAAGTACGTTTGTAATACCGAAGCCAGGTCATAGAGATACATAATGTAGGATCGAAAGTGAACTCTCCAAAACAGACCCGGGTAACTGTCATTGCCATGTGGTACATCTAGTACTGTTGTTTTGATAGGGAAAGTTAGCTTAGAAGTTAGATTGAATTGTTCCACGTACCTCATTACTTATGTATAATAGGTGGTACCTACTCATGATAAGTTAAAGTTGTATTGATTGTTAAAAAGTGTTAAGAAGTATAGAGACGGAGTCTAGAGTGGAAAGACGGGGTTCGAGGTTCCGGAGAGAGAGGCAAAGAATGGCCCGGACACAGCAGTTGGTGTTCATTAGAACGATGTGGTTGATGTTGTAATTATATATAATCTGTGCGAATACATATTTGTTTTTGTGTTCCAGAACTTTGTTATAAAGGACATTTACTAAAGTTTGGTATATCTCGAGAATATGGGTTATAAATGGTCTCTGACCGTCACGGCCACAATGTGAAGGTAATAAAAAACACTACTGTGTAACCAATTTCCATCTGAATACAAAATATTACCATTTAAATTCGATTTTTGATGAACAATTGTCAATTGAAGACTGTATCTCACATTGACTAATAGTGAGACAATTTTTACTATGTAGTTGTTATCACAATCAAATCGATGATGTTAGAATAGAGTATAACTTTGTATGCGTGGCTTTAAAAGCACCTTCCTGTACATAAACTACAAGATCACCATTGTTTATATATGTCCGTTATATACATTAAGAGTCCACAGGCTACGATATTACAATTAGCAATTAAACGAACAGTAGTCATTGATTTTCAATAAAGATAACTTTTTCAGACTGTATCAAGCCTAACAGTACTAAAAGTACTAAGCAAGTTATAGCCCGCAGTCCAGAGTAAAATCACGGACTAAATATAGCAGTAAGCCGCTTAGTGTAGCGCGGGTCAACAGCGATATGTTGAGTGTGCAGCGTGGAAGCCAGCCTACATGGAGCTAGGGGTGTATGTATGTGTGTAGGTGCACAGGATATATACATACTTCCCAGCTTGGCTCGGCTTTATAACGGAGAGCCAGCTATATAATCTAGGCCACTCTCCTTCCGTCCCTAGCCTCGTTTAAAACACATGTACACTTATATAGTCAAACTTTGCTCGAATCAAAAGTAGTTTTAAAAGTTAAAAGTAGTATAAAATTTCATAACTGAGGAAGCAACGAAAAGTTATTTTTTGTAGACTAAGTTTTAACATGCCTTAAAGCTTAAGGACGCAGCAATCATTCCACTCTGGGTTACACACGACTGATCAAGCAATGGTATACGGGCGTTACATGTATTCCTGGTCACATGTATGCTTACTTAGACAAAACTTTCCCATCGAGTAACTTTTATAACTTACCTGAAAGTTTCTAACACTGTAGCCTAACGGCAGCACGACTATACGTCAACAGGCACAGCACATATCACTTCTGTGGTCGGCTCCGGCAAAACTTTGCAACTTTCCCAACTTTTGTTTGTGTACGCGTGTGTGTGTGACAAGCCTATCATGCAGACCGTCAGCTCGCTAGCCAGCATGCGCGTTCATGCAGTAGCTACACTGTAGCAGTGCTTGATCGAGAAATACACAGGCCCAAAATTGATATCGTCTGCTCACGAACGGTGCCTGTCTGCCGCGTACAGCACATGGTTGGCTCCCTTTCAAATTGAACCCAGCTGGCTTTCTGGTACTTCTCGATCTGTGTGCTACAGGGACACCGACATGCTTTAGACAGTAAGACTGTGTAAGCCCCACTTACAGGGCCGTGGGGCCGGCTAATTCGGGGATCCAGCAAGGTAATAAGCACTAGCTTTAAACTAGCATAGACTAGTATTTATTTGAGATAGGCCTGATCCCGCCCGAGCGTGACTGGTGGATTATAAATGTTCGCCTTTCTATCAATGCGACAAGCCTTTCCACTGCGACTTAACAAGACCATGCAGAAGCCGAGACAGATGAAACCAAGTTCGCAATGCCTTGTACATCTCCATGGACACTTACCAAACCGCCCTATACCAATGCTGGTTCGAGTCACGGCACAGCACAGTGTTGTATCTTTGTGCAAGATACTTTACTCCGCTTGTTCCAGTCTACTCAGCTGTAAATAAATACGACGTGGTTGGGCAGTGCTAGAATTGTAGAATGCTAGCTATGAGCGCCGAAATGACAGCACCGATTGTATGCTCGCCAGCCAGTTGAGAAAGATGTTGGCTGGTTGCAAAGGCCCTATTACCACGGATAATAATTTGTGAACCGCTTTGAGAGGACCTAAGAACTAGGTTGTGATAAAGCAGTATACCAGAACATCGAATTATTATTATTAGTAATACAAGATATTGAAGGTCACGGTCGCTAAGGCACTTGGTAACAAATGTTAAACGATCGCTGATAACATACAATTGTATGTCTACAAAAGCATCAACAATGAATTATATTTCCTTTGTCAAATACATGAAAGTTGTAACCAACCTTCCACACATTACCCTAAGT